AAACTCCCAATTCACCTGGAGAAGACTACCTATTACATACTGAATTAAAAACAAAACAAACAAAAAACCCCTTGTTGATCATTTTGGAAAACTTAAGATTTTCAGACAAAACCCTGCAGACCCCTGAAGCTGTTTATTTCCAAGTAATGAGCCGGTCTTCCTGCCTTCTCAAGTACTCTTTGGAAAGGAAGTGCATTGGGAATGCGGTGCTTGTGTTGGGGGCTGCACCTGGAAAACGCAGTGATGGGAACAGGGACACACAGCTCTTCACCAGGCCTTCAGCCCCTCTTCTGCCTCTTTGCCTCCCTGCCCAGATATTTGCCCTGTGTTTAAGCATTTCCTAGCAATTTAAATGATTTCTGCTTTCCAAATCTCTAAGAGAGCAGGGCTGTTGGTGAATCACCATCACCAGTTGCCTTGGAACATCACCTGAACTACCAAACCTCTGCCAGGTACCAGCAGAGAGCAACTCACCCTGCAACCCTCCAGGGAAAGGAGGGCTAAAAAAAGGTCTAAAAAYGCCTCTTTTTACAAATAAATAAATTCGTGGATCTGGAGACAAGGGCGGCAGCCCCAGGCTGCGGAGACTGCAGCACTTGGCGCCTCGTCCAGACACTCGCACTTGCCCCTGGCCATGGATTCCCATGGGGATGCGGCCTCCAGCCTTGGCAGCCACTGCCCTCCCACGGGTGGAAAAGCCAAGCTGCATTTAAAGCTTTTAGGCTTAACCTTACTGGCTTGGCTTTGGCTCCGCTAACCCGGTTATTTTTTTAGTAAAAGACACTGTGATTTTGGCCAAAGCTGAGTTTACAGCATGAGATTCACTCCAAGGCAGCTTAAAAAGAAATCACTCACCCAGCTGCTACACGAGTAGATTCCTTTAGGGCATAGCAGATAGGAGCCATTAAACCCATCATCCTAGGAATAAAAGGGCATGAAAATTGCTGTTTCAGAACTACAGCTACAATGAAAAAGCAAATACCCAAAGCTGAGGCAATTAAGGAGCACAAGTTAAGCGAATGTTACTTCAATTAGCTTGACACAGAAATGCTGAACTCTGCCCTTGTGCGTCTGAAACCACCCCAAATCATGCTTTTTTCTTTATCCTTTTTAGGAGAAAAATATTTTAAAAGAAGGATTTCCACTAAATAGGATTTCAGGCTGCTCGAAWGACGCACCAAGCAAACATTTCCCAGTCCCTCGGTTGTCTCTCCAGAGCCACCCCAGATAAGACACRGGGCTCTTCCCGCCTCCCCAGACCAGGCAGGTTGGCTCTTGGAGCTGCCTCCACCTCCAACCAAAACAAGGCCCGGGGCCTCTTCCTTGTCCCACGCCACAAAGGCACAAAAGGCACCTGAAATCACCAAGGGAACACCGACACCGGGCATTTTCGTCAGGAGATATTTGCATTATTTTGGGGAAGATGATTGCATTCATGGGTGTCTGARGGATCACTGGGACAACTTCACATGCAAAGCTTTCCTGCACTGAAAGGGAAAAAAGCAAAAGCAAACGGGGTGTCTCTGGTGACCATTCCAAGCCCGCACTCCTAAGCCATAAGGGCAGGAAAGAAGAAATCCCCCTTGATGATCCAGGGAAAGGAAAAGGCACACAAGGGAAGCAAGAAGGATGAGGCTGAACAGAGGAGGAAGAGTGAGGAAAGGCAGGCCTACCGTTTGAAAACCAGTTACTGCGATAACTTACTGCAATCCACGGCAGCAGCACCAGTTCTGCAATGAGTTTTAGAGTACGTGGCAGGCGTTAAAATAAATTTTCAGGTCCTTCTAGAGGTCAAAGGTATCCRATAAGAGTCTAATCATGCTGCGGTTTAAAGCCAACGTTCAATTAATAAAGGTTCTGTTCCGTTTGTCCTTTCAAATGCTATACATTTTGCTAAATATTTAGGCTCTTGTTTGCCTTTTGCAAATCTTGATCTTTTCTGCAAAGAGAACTAGAACTTGATACACATTAAGAAAAAGAACACGTAGAAAACAAATATTTTGATTTTACCAAGCACATCAAGAACCAAGCTCCCTTCTACTCCCATTTGAGACCACATTGCTTCCATGCTATACTGACCTTAATCCTTGATAATTCACACTTTAAGGACTGGCTTCAAAGACTTTTTTTTTTTTTTTTTTTTTTTTTTTTTTTTTTTTTTTTTTTTTTTTTTTTTTAAAAAGAAAAAAATGTATTTTAACATTACATTTCTAAATATACTTTGTATATTCTGAAATGCCTCATACAAGATTAACTATTATTACATGTATTTCCTCATTGAAATAAAAAAATCTACAAAAATCTGTTTTGGTGCAACTAACCTGCAGTGAGCAGCATCAAGACCTGCAAATTCCTCCACTTATACAATATGCATTTAGCAATTTTTTTTAATCTTAAAATTATTTTCAACCTGTTTAACTGGAGAGGAAGAAAGAAACAAAAAGGCAAGATTTGATCCTCCCCACCCTGATATCCCCAAGGCTCCCAAGGCTTCTATCCAATACCCTACAAACACTGGCATTAAACGCCATAGAAGCAGCTGATAGACAAGTAGCTTTTAAAGAGGAAAGCAAATGAACAATATTTTTGCAAACTGTAAAAACATTTTTTTCCTGTGGTCCTCTCATCCAAAAAAGATTGCTGGACTGTTGATACACATCCTCGTTATTGCTGATATTATGCTTTAGTAAATAAACTCACACTTGAATGCTACTAAAACACATACTGCAAGATGCTACTACGATTTGAAGCACATTATTTCCCAGGAAAACTCATTTTTTATTTTTCTCTGCTTTAACTCATGATACTATAAAACTCTATGGACTAAATGTGGCCACGTTTTATCCTTAACACTATCCTGCAGTATTTCCAGCAGGTGTATCCTTGGCATATGATAATAACCAAGTGCTTTATGTCAGGCATTTTTGCCATTTGTTTTGAAAGAATAGGCAGTGGGAAATTTCATAACCATTCACTGAAAAGCCTTCTTGAATTATGACAATATGTACAACTTTAGTTAATTCCATTATATTCTTAGTGCCAATAACACTCCTGAAGTTTAATATTGCTGGAAAATCTACAGATCCATGCACAGTGCTGCAAGCATGAGCCCAGCTCTCTTCCTCCCAGCATCAATGCATAGAAAAGAACATATGCCAGTCAACACCTCATAGAAAACACATTTCACAATGCTTTTATCAAGGGACAATCCTACAAAATGCAGAGATTTAAAAAAAAAAAAAAAAATCTGCAGGGCACCTGTTTTACTTACAAAACTCCTTCTTACACTAACTACCAAAACCTACTTTGCTCAAAATTGTTCAGACCTTGGGTCAAGGAGACAGTGGCATTAGCACTCGACAGAAAATGTGCTTCTCTACACTAAAATAGCCATTTAAGCAAGAATGTGGAAATGATTTATCTCGCAGTGTTTGAAGTTGGATCCTCACCTCAGCTATGTCATGACTGCACAATCAGTCAGAAAAGGACYGCTGTACTTTCATATGGAGAAAAGGGTGTTCAGCTCTTCACCAGGACTGTCTAAGAGGTACTATTGCCTGTTAGGAAATAAGAAAAAGTGCAAATACTCCCTAGCAGGAACATTCACATTTATAACATCTGAGTTGGAGACCTTCATTGTTCCGAACCCCAAATATAAATCTCAAAATGTTTAATGTTAGAAAGGTAATGTAATTGTGCTGAAAGCTGCATCATTTAAACAAAGCTGTATTTGCAACCTCAAGTATTGAAGGGCTACATTAATGGGAGACAATTAGAAAAATGAACCTGAAAACTTAAGCTCATTAATTAAGTCTTGTGAAGGAAATCAGAATTCTGAGACAAGAGAACAGCAGGATAAAGCTTATTTTTGGATTTAGGGTTACTATTTTATTCATTCACTATCTTTTTATTGTTATACATTCTATAAGCATTTTAAAAACACAAGACTATAAAAAGCTTTCCAACAATGCAGGCCTAGCACTGAAAATATTTGTGCATTTACCTAACAGGATTTGCAGGATCAGACCCCAAACAGATGGTCTTCTAGAGATATAACGAATCCAATGAGATCACTAAACACGTACCCGTAAGAAACACTTTTTTAACCTATGTTGCTATTTCCATAAAGATAATTACTTTTAGAAATCCTCTTCCCTAAGAATACATTAAGTTTCTGATGTGAGAAATAATTAGTTGACAAAAGTCACAAGTACTTCCATTGGAACTGAGCAAGCAGTCCCTTCACACACAATCTGGCTCAACCTATATTGCTTCTGTAACCTGTATCATTTTAGTGCACAAATAAAATTCAACTGTTGTACTCCCAAAGAAATAGAAAATCCACATTTTGCGTAGAAATCCCTCCAGCAAGAACAGAATTCAGTGCAATAATTGAGGCTACTGGGAAAATTTAGCCAAAAAGTATGTTCAATTCCCTCTTTACAGCCTGTCCTAATTGTGCATGCTCTCAATCAGTGCATCCTCAGTCCCGTATTTCGAGGTTTCAGCTGTTATTCAGATAAGCAACAATGCAATCATTAAGACGTGATTATAGTCATAGTCCTAACGTGTATATACATGCACTAGGAGTGCAAATTATGGACTTAAATTGCCCTGTTTTTATAAGAAGTCACAGTATTTGTCACTTGAACAACATGTAAAGAAGCAAAAAAAAACGTTCATGCATTTTAAATAGATATAACACAGGACTTCCTCTATAGGCACAGAGTGAAAGAGCTTTCAAAGATCAACTACATATGAAAATATCTGCATTTTCTTTACATTTATATAAAGTTAGGGAAGAGAGAGCAGAATCAGTTAAAAAGAAAAGGCTTAGAACTCAAACAATCATTTCCAAACATACTACAGACAATGTATGTATCTGTTGATATCATTTGCATCCGCCTTACGTACATATGAAATTATTCCAGCTTATGTTCTGGAAGAGAGGATCTCAGGCCATAAATACTGCTTTTAAAGTGAGCACATCAGAGAGTATTCATGGCATGACRTGGAAGGAGATGAATGCAGAGAGCAGAGAGGCGACTCCATTCTCAAGGCACAGAAATATGTCAGCGGACTTGACCTCCTGGCCTGAAGTTCTAGGCAGGGTACAACAAAAGAAAAGAAACTATCTGCAATTAAAGTAACGAACACAAATGGAAAAATGTGTTGAYGAGCATTTTAAAGCAGGCTTGTCACACAAGAAAAAAAAAGAGCCATGACACATTCACTATCCCCCCGACATGTGCCAGGACGAGCATTTGGATAGGGCACCACAAAYTGGATAAGTAGACTGAATCACATGAAATATAAGCATGGATAGAAAAATTAATGGATAGAATAAGCAGTCAAGGACAGTAGAAGGTAAGCTTGCCTCTTACTGCTATAGCTCCAGCTTAAAGCACCAAAAGGCAGCCTCAGAATCTACCACCACCACCTTTACAAAGTCTAAATCAGAACCTCTCACGCCACCAGAGGTTCATCACCGTTAACTCTATCTTTTATCTCACCTTTTTCWTAATGAAATAAAATGTAATTTCTTACCAAACTTACCAACAATAATTTTGCTCTGCCCCAGATTTAATAAGATCCAAAATCCATAGTGTGTTTGGATAAGGTGTGCTGCCTTGCTTAGGATAAAATTTTAAATCAAGCTCAACTTGCAAAGTCCTTCTATAATCAATTCACAATACGAAAAGGTTATTCCCATTTAGCTTAAAATAGATTACTCTTAAAACAGAGGCTGAACAACATGCAGTTTAAATAAAAATAAGAGTTTGCAGAAGCTTTATTAAAATAGTATTAGAATACACTTTAAATGCAACTGTCTTTTCTATATATCATCCATTTTTAAAAGGTACTTATATCCAGAAGTTTAGGAAAGTCAAGTGTTTTTTAGAATTCAATATCCTGCTAAAATTCCCCACGACACACAAATGAAACAAATGGTTTTGCTTTGGCCACAGAACCTGCAAGCCACATCCCTCTAGGACTTGTATATAATGCAGCTATACAACTTGCTTATACGACTGCTCATTCTATTAAATAACCTTCAAAAGGAGTGGATAYCTGATGGATTATTGTATTATAAGTGGATAATTTGCAGCAATAGCTCATGTATAGGAATATAGACCTTGCAACACCAGATACACTCGATAGTGTATCTGGTCACATAGCCTGCCCGAGGCAATGCAATTCCTGGTGCTTCAATGGGAGCTGTAAAAACTCCAGTCCATCTTCACTGCCTTTCATACTATTAACCTGATACACTGCTCTGTAGTTAACRGCGCACAGTTTGCCTACTAAAACGTTACCCCAAAACCATTCTAGGTCTTGTTGTCAGTAACTTGCAGCCACAAAGCTAATCTTTCAGGCTGACATTTCCATCAACCRTATTTGACACAGCCCAATTCTTCCTGTGCATACATGCATGAGCATATTAACATGTACAGTGGTTAGCCAGGAGCCTTCCTCACTTCTAAGAATGCCAAGGGAAAAACACATCGTCTTAATCTGCTCCTTACTCCCAAGGAAATCTACCCAAGTGCAACTGCATTAGATTTATCAAGGAATGCAGCTTGCCCTGTTCTTCCAGGGAGTAAAACAGCACTACCTGCACAATGACCAGCTACAAGAGCTCCACACAAGCATTGCTGAAGCCAGGACTTGCATAAAAACATAAGGAAAAAAAAACAAAAAAAGAGACACCCAAATCCCAAATRAGATCCCTGCAGTATTTGCTTACTGGGTTGTTAAGATCTGCACTACTAGAAGGATGATTGGAAAAAAATTAGAAGGAACAAGGGTCAAGTTTCAGATAACATGTAATAGTCTATCTGGTAGAGTTATTGCTTCTTGGTATGCAATAAAAATCAAAATAACCAAGAACACAATTTCTAAGCTGTCAGCATCTACCTGTGAAAACAGCGGATGTTTTCCCTGCTAGTGCTGATGCACAGGGGGGGACACTCGGCTCCTACCATCACTTACCTTCAGCTCGAGTAACACGAGTCCTTGTCAGTCAAGGGCTTCAAATCTGCTGCTGCATTCGAAGATGAATCCAAACTCCTCCAGGTGGCATTTTGTCCATTTTTACAGTATGCYTCCTAAAGAACAGGAAAACCACTTGCAAAAAGCTAAATAAGACTAAGATTACAATTTGAAAACATAGTTGTTAAATACTTTTTGGCAAATTCCCTGGACTCAATCACGAATGACACACATGAATCAAAGGGATGGCTCTGGCTTTCTGCTTAATTACAAAATGGAGCAAAAAGCTCCATTAAAAAGAAAAAGATTATAGTGTTTAAAAATAATTTGGCTTTGCATCCCAACGAAGAGGACAGCACCCTCTAACATTTTACTTAAACATTAGTCCAGCACATACCCCCTATAGAAAGGCAGCACATTTCCATTGCGACATCTCYGAGGACAAGGGATTTCCACATCAATCTGCATTTACTGTATATGCACTTGATAAAATAAGCACACACTGAAGAAGTTCTTTAAAAGCATGAAAAAGATATCTGCAAGTGTAAACCAACACACAAAGACTTACTGTTTATAGAGGCAAGAAAAGCTGAAGATGGAAATATTGAGTTAGTCCAAACAACAWCCCCTGATAAACCCCAAGGACTGTGATGAAATCAGGCCTAACAAACAAAAGAGGAGCAGGGCACAGGAACGAGAAGCCCAGAGCTGGCTTGCCAGAAAAATGCTGAGCTTGGTCAGAAGCCTTTACTTAAAACTAGTGCTCTTATAGGTGTCTGAAAGGTCTGGAACTTCCTAAGGTAGCTGAGAACCCCGTCACCAGCTGGAAATCCCGGGATTCACAGCAAAATCACCCGGCATTGCTGATCCCAAGAATCGGCCAGAGCAGATGCAGTCAGGCAGGAGGAGACCCAAATTACATCGCCATAATATCCAGCTTTGGTTAAGCTTCAAAAACATCTGGAATACAAAACTTACGTTCCTGTTATCCATGCCCTGTATACATTTTAATCCCCATCCTTTTTAATCATTTTTTTCTGCTGTTTTTTTTAAAAAAAATCTGACTCAACGAGTCAAGACTGAATCTTTTGCAACAACTGAGCCCGTGACCAGCACAACAGCTAACAGCAATGCCTTGAACAGCCCAACGCTGTTCCAACTTATCGGCAGCCCGATAAGATAACGCTCCGTGGCTGCCTTTCTCCAGCAGCAAGATTTCAAGTTAAAGTCTGAACCAAAACCAGAAGCTGCAGTCTCCAGGATTTGGGGTGTTTTTTTTTTTTCTTTTCCTTTTCACGAACTCTGAACAAGAGCAATTTCAAGGCGGCCTATTTAACTTTTTGGAGGAGAAGAGGAAAAAAGCAATTAACCACCTTCCAAATCTAACATTGTTAGGCAGATGTTTCCTTAGAGCAACCTTTCACAGTGAACAGGAAAAAAAAGCAAGAGTAATGAAATAAAGAACTGAACAGTATTGTATATCAAAATGTTTTATTAAAGAATTAATAGCAGTTAAAAGGCAAAGATTAGTCATGGAAACTCCTCTCAATTTAAAATAGACTGATGTGTCCCAACTAGAAATATCAAATGATATTTGACTATTTAGCCCTGCAGAGTCGCAGGATTCCCAGCAATATTTTGAGTTCTCCAGCCCAAATAAGACACGCTCTCAATAAAAGCTCCTTATCCCAACTGTGGCTTTGTGGGAGCAGATCCACCATCACCAAGAAAACAACCCGCTGTTCAAATGGACACATGGTTAGGATTTTGTCTGAAAGAAAGGGTGTAACAACCTATTTTTGCTCTTTTATAGGACTAAGAAGTCTATTACAAGCTGATCATATAGGGGCAGTCCTAGAGCTGTGATTTCTCCCCCGCTGCAGACACATCTCCATTCATTATCTCCACTTCTCACTTCCCAGCTTGCTGCCCTCCTACGCAGGCGTCTCCTCTAGCCGAGAGCGACGTTCACACTGACACTGCTGAAAGCTTGAGACTGCCCCAACCCAGCAGGTCCTGCCGTTCCCTAGCAGTGACGGATGAGTCGCTATCCTTAAAGGAAATTGCTGAGCACTGCAAGCTGAAAACCGCTGCTCACCTCGGACGGAGCAGAAGGGTCTCCTCGCCAGGGAACAGCCACAACATCCATGCGCCTCCTGTGAAATCCTTCCTTTTTTTCCTTTTCTTTAATACAGACCACCAAGAAATCCGACTTTCGCCTACTTCAGCRTTGTGCACTACACACTTGCAGATATGCATAAAAGTAAATGGAAAACAAATAAAGATGTCTGATTTTCCTGTACTCTAAATTCTACGAAAACACCACTATTTTGAATGCCTCCTTGTTGCGTATCCAAATTCAGGACAGGCCATTACAGAGCATCTTAAAATATCAGCAGAAATCTTACCAGCTCTGCAGCATCTCTGCTTCCCCTCTTTCCCTGCCTTCTTGCCACAGAACAAGGAAGATTATTCCTGTAACAATATATCTATTTAGAGAAAAACAAGACAAAACACTCTGCTATAAGCCTAGATTTTGCAAGCTATTTACAATATTTCCAAAATATTTTCTCATCTTTGGGCTTTGCTCATTGAGAGGCAAATGGAGATCCTCTGTTTGTCTCCTTTGTAGCTGAGAAATATATTTAAAAGAGAAAGAAAGAAAAAACAGCTCTTTGAGAAGCTTGTGCCAGCTTCATTGTCAAGACAAAGGTCACCGCATCCCTATTCACCATGACCTAGAACTGTACCCATTTAAAGACTTCATTATGCTACATTAGAAGGAACTCTTTCTCAGAGGTTTTCATTTAGCTTCATTGTGAGAAGAACAAAACACGTAAGCATTAGAATATGGTGTTAAAAATAGTCGAACTGATGATTTTAAGCTACCAACAGTCTGTTCAGTTTGCAAACCACATCACTCAGAGAATGATTTCTGGAGCCAAGCAAAATGAAATAGGAAATTGCTTTTACRCTCAGAGTGCATCTCCAGACTCCACAAATTAAAATGCAACATATCTGCGCTCAAATTGATTGCAACCTCTTAGAAAYCAGAAGTTCCAACTCCTCCAGAGATGAGTAATTGGTTTAATCCTCATCTCCCGAGACTCCGATAAAAGTAAACCTGGAAAGCAGTATGAATTAAGCCTGCTCATGAAAAACACTTTTCCATCACTTAAACATTTCATACAGATTTAAAGCTACGCTAAAACCACCAAGTGAAGTCTACACAAGTCTCATTATAGGCTTTGATGGACTAAGCACACCAAGTGCTTTACGCTGTAATTTGGTCAAGCTCCCTACGGTTGACAGGTTCCTTAAGGTAAACACCTTGAATATTTTTAGAGACATTTCTCCATTGCTTATAGCTGAATAATCCTAAAGCTGCCCAGAGTGCAGACAGCAGTTTTGGCACAGGTTTCTGCATTTCGTTTCCACGAAGTGAATCAATACTAGGAAATGGCAGCTCTTCAAGGGAAAAGTTGGTGTTCGACGAAACGGAGCTCACCATGTCTTTAAGCGTCACATTTCCAAACCATGGCTGGCCATAGTCCTGCTGCTTCCAAGACAGTCTCTAGCCACTGGAGCCACGGGGCCATGAACTTCTACGAGTAAATTACCAACCTGGCCAAATTCCAAGGAAATAATCACCTTACACCACATAATTGTCCTCTTCAAATGCACATGCTATTCCTGCTCAGCCTCAGAACTTCCTCCTGAATTAATCCACCTTCCTTCTGGATCTGTTTCTGTTTAATAGGCAAGAGGATCCAGGCATATCTGGCACATTCTGATTTAAGGCACCTCAGTGGAATATGCAAGACATTTTATTACATTTCTATACATCTTCTCATTATAGAAAAGCAAACTGAATCATATCTTTGTCTCTCAAGGGGTTGGACATTGATTTCTTCAATAAAGGTCTGGGTTTGTTTGCATTTCCACTCCCCTCAGACCCCAAGATCACTTTGTTTCCTTAAGGGAAAAAAAAATAAAAGTTTGAGAAGAATGAAATATCCTTATCACCACCAATAAAATTTCCAGCCACTCATTCCAATCACAGCTCTTGCCCAGGCAAGCCAAGCAGCACACTGTTAGGGGAATCTGAGGGATTAAAAATAACCAGGGTCTTTTAAAATATATTTTAATGAAAGACAGAGTCTATTAAAATAATTAGACACACACAATTTATTTCTTCATTCTAAATCTGTCTAGATAACACTTCATCAAATTTATGACCTTATGAAGTACACAGGTGGCTTCCTAGTGTTACATTACTTAGGACAGACTTTGTTTTTAAATAAAAAATAGAAAACAAAAATTTAGTAATACACTATTTACAAAAAAAGCATTATTTTAGCTATAACATTATAAGTTAAGCATTAAAGTTCACTCAGAACTAAATCTTCCTTTTAATTCTCAATTTATCCCACCTTGTACAGGCATGATGAGATGGGTAACACGATAACATACTATTTTTCCCAAATAACACTGTCTGGCTCTTTGCATCTGCAAGGAGTAGGACGACAACACTCACAAGGGGCTGGGACTCGATGTCTGCTCCGACCGGGCTTCACTGGTCGCAGAGACCACGTCTGCAGCGCCCAGCAGAGAAGGGCACATAAGCTGAATGTCACCTCTGGAGAACCCACTTCCCCTACGACCCAGGGCTTCTCTGCAACTCGAGACCATCGGCTGCCCCACGTTTCCTAAGTTGGAACTGCTCTTTCCTTTTGCCCAGGCACACAGGGAAACAGTGGGGGCTTTACACCAGGAACTCAGCTCCAATCAAGGTCAAAGAGAGGGAATTCCACCACCTCCGCTCTCTCCACATCACGGGCATCAAACTGAAACTGCACATCCAAAAGCAGCCGAAGATTTCAGCATTAGTGTCATTAAAAAAAAMTATCAACATCAAGACACTAAATAAAATTATTCTTTTGTGTCAGACATAACTAGATGCTACTGTCTTTGAGGAAACTAACAATGATGAAATAAATCTGGGTTTTAATTGCAGATAAAAAAGGGGTGCAACAAAGGTTTTAAACACAAATAACAAAGCATAGCTATATGCCTCATAGCTGCTCGTTCAGTGAGCAGTGCATCTGCTGGGCTCCAAGCGAAGCACAAGGGAAACGCTCTACAAAACACAATGCAATATTTTAAGGGCTTGCGTAAATAAACACCTTGCACAGAAGTCTTGTTAGAAGAACACACGAAGTTAAGACTTTCCAATTTATAGAAATAAAAGAGTAAATTCTTTTGTTCAAAARCACACAACATCCATGGGGGTCACCTAAAAGAAGCTGCCATTTGAACTAACATAATGACCAATTGCAACAGCTGCCTGTTATCCAGCATGGGTCACCTTTAGGAGATACAGCCACCCAACGCTGAAGTCACAGGATGCAAATGCATTTTCAAACACTCTCGACTAAACAGATCAGGTTTTCAAGAACAGCCAATGATGCAAACACAGACACCATCGGCCTAGTTAAAATTACCTGCTTCACTGTAGGATACTGGTGGTTTTCCAAATATCACTTTGTTTTTAAAGCAGCATGGAATGAAAAGGCCAGCAGAACATGACAACTTTCCTCCTTAACCTTATTTAAGCAGATATATGACAATTTTCACAGAAATTTACCTGAGGGAAAAAAAATATAATAGAGATGGCAAAACAGACAAAGCCTGGAGAATTCCAACCAAAATGGCTTAAAGCTGTCAAAGTCAGGGGTGTGTGTGGAGGCACCTTCTTAAAAATAGCTTCACAAGATTTCAAAGTGATACCAACCAACATTTTTCCTATCGGTGGCTCATATACCTGAAAATTTGACCTCCCTTCACACCACCCTAYTTTCACTTTTTTTTCCCATTCCCTTTCCACAACTGCCTCGTTTGGTGTCCAGTTTACCCAGCTCAGGAACTGCTGCAAAGCTCAGGGATGCTCCCCGACGTCGTCCGAGGGGCACATGGGGCTGCAGAGATGGACACACATCCTGAGGCACCTGCCCCAGAGCACAAGGTGTTACATGAGCTACCAGAGTGAAGAGCAGCACAACACTTCACGTGCCCTTCCCTACTACCACATACAGCCCTTCTCCTTTACACTCCATGCATTAGTGGTAGGAAAGTAGTCATGATTCTCCTTCTTAAAWTTTTTTAAAAATAAAATAAACAAGGCCCATTTTGCTTTGCTCTTCTCTCCTCTCACTGTCACACCTCTAAACCTCCTAAGTAGGTAGGTTACTACCCCATATACACGGAATTCTTTCCAATATTGAGCAGATAAAACCCTATCCTGCGCTTTCTACACATTTTACCATATTCTTAAGCTTCATCAACTGAAGAAAAACATTAAATTAGGAAGAAATCTAGTTGAGTTCTGTTTGGAAACATTTTTCAATATAGAACATGCAACACAAAAAAAAAAAAATTTGTCATTGAGCATCCGAAATAATTCCTCGCAATTTTCTGAGCATCAAACATTTAAAGTGTATATTGCATATTTACCTTGGTGGGTTTTCATCCCTACTTATCACACAACAGTGCTTCTCCATATGCCAACCATTTTTCTCTTGTCCATGTCATTACCTGATTCAAATTACCATCTTTCTTCCTTGAACCCCCTGTTTTTTTGAAGAAAACCAAAATACATTAAGCGAACCCCCACGTACATTCACATTACCTAAACATGTTTTTAAAWAGAGGTTTGGTTGCAATACTATATTTACAGTGCAAAGTTAAGTCAAAAAATAAAAACAGGTAGATGACTTTCTAAAATCTTTACTTTGAACAAAAATGTGTTATATATGTGCCACTCCGGATTTTCAACAGTTACAGAACGTTTTTGAAATTAACAATATGAAAACATATATACTTTTTATCCAAAACCATACAGAAAAAGATACAGATTTAAAAAGTGAGGTTATATGAACAGTTTGACTGAAGGAAGCTGGTTATTTTTTTCCTTAGAAACCCGAGGTATGAGCTAGCTCCATCATTTCTTAAACAGTGCACTTAATTTTTCCGACCCAAGAGAACTTGAAGAAACTAAGCTGAAAACACGCCAGTAATTGTTACTACTACTTCTCAAAATTTAGTCTCATAATATTTTCTCAATAGGTTCTCAAAGTGGGACTGGATCAGAGAAGTGATATCTTTATGATTTTGTGAATAATGGGTTTTATTAGTATTAAGTTAAAAGCAAACAGCCAGAACAATACATATGCAACTTCTACTACACATAATATAAAGAAAGTAAACTATAACCTCTGAAAAACAAAAGATACCAAAAAAGCCAACACAATGGTTATAGACTATTCCAGCCCCTGAAAACAGGCTGGGTTCTGTGTTCAGAGAATAATCGTTGTTCACTTGTTTCAACTGAAACTGGGCAAAATACATAATCAAGTATAAAGAAAAAGTTAATGGAGTTAGACGGATTCTATGAGAACAAACTCTAGATTAGTAGAAAATGATAGTTCACCTGGAAAAAGAGGTTACAATGGGCTTGGGTATGAATTTTTAGTGGTGAGGGACAATGGGAGAAATTACCCAGGATTTTTGTAACAATTYGTTTAATAATTCATAGTTTTCAGAACACCACTTTCATAACAGAAGTGTTTTACACTTGCACAATGTTAATAACTTTATTATACATGGAAGCCTGTAATAGGCTGATTACACAATAAGACTGCAAACAACCACTGGTACTTTCCTGACACCAGGAAAGCACATAAGACTGAAACATCACCAAGAGTACATAAAAAAACATCAGCATAAACATCACCAAAATTACATTAAAAAAAACTAATCAAAAAATACATTTGCAAAAAAGTGGTTTAGAGCAGTGCCACTGCCTCTCAGCAGCTTTGAATGGCCACTAGTATTTCTAGCAGGTTTCCATGGCTCCACAGGCATTAATCAGGATTCACATACAATAAATAATGTACCACAAAATATACATAAAGTAAGGCAATAATTCCAAAGAAAAGTTCTGTTGATATGAACAAGCCACTCGGGTTCTCCTCTGGGAGCAGAAGCCTTTGATGGAATTGCAGCCTTGGGCCCTACACTTGGAATGAGGCATCGCTGCCAACTCCTACCTCTGGAAGGAGCTCCAGGGAATCTCCAGCGCGCCGCTGGGCACGGGGCAGCTCATCCCGACGCAGGACCAGGGCCTCAGTACGTACAAATTGGGAGTATATTATTTCTTATTATTGTACATGGAGACCTCCACAGAATTTGAAAATAAGCAGGTGTTTACATGGTTCATTATCTGATGATGCCTTTAGACATCASAAAGCGCGTAGAAAGGTACGTGCCTTCTGGAATATTTGTAAATCTTCATAAATTCTAGCTGTTATGTCGGGGTGAGAGAGGAAGAATGGAAAGAAAGGTGTAAATTAAAGGGGAAAAAAGTGAGGAGAGGCACAGGGGGGACCACAAAAGAAAGGAGACCTTATACACTAAAAGAATGTGGAAGAGGGGAAGAGCAGGAGACCGGTGTCTTCTCAACCATGTATAATAAATAAAGGTACCCCAACAGCATATAGGGGCTAGGACTGTAGTTTCAAGCTGGGGTTCTAGTGACATGAACCAGACATACATGTTTTCTTCTCATGGTTTGTGTCAACAGAATCTCTTTATGGAATTACAGTCTTACACAGGAGTTCTGGGGACATTATTCTTTCTATTAAAGCTACCAGTCTGGGCTCTTACTATGGATCCATGAATCTCTGCTTCACCTGTCTGGAATGAGCATCACCTGGAAGAACAGGAGTACTTAAAAAGCAACAAGATTTAGGTAGCAAAAGTCTTTCAAATCAGCCCAGGTACAAAAGACAGCAAATTGAAATGTCATAGATCCCTTCCTCAAAAAAGCTGTAATATATTTGTCACTATCTGTAGATTGGAAGTTCCAATACACTAGTGGTGCATAGAAGTCCCATGTTTTGTTACACTTTCCTGAGAGTAAAGCAATTAGAATAAACCTTAATCCTAGGAACAAAGTTTTTTTTTTTTTTTTTTAGTTTCTTTTTTTTTTTTTTTTTTTTTTTTTTGCATTTTAAACATTTGGGCTATTCCCTGACAATCTCTATATGTAAATTTGATTGCTAAACAATGTCACTTGAACAAAAGAAAACTATTTTAATCTATTGATTTCTGATTAAAAACCATAATAAACAGATCTAAAAAAAATCTCACTAACAAAATAACCTAAATATGAAAAGTTGCATTGAAAGGGCATGTTACATTATTCTTGATAGGACCGTGTAAGAAACATTCCAATGGCAGTGTTGTCAAAGTAAAAACAAAATTACATAAAAAAAACACCCCACAGCCCAGTCACAGGGGGACCTTACCTGTAACTCTGGCTGGTTGGGGTTTTTACTCGTGTACTACATGGCTCACTTACATCAGACATCATATTTGTATACCCTGAGAAATCTGACACTGAAGTCCTTACTCTATGGTCTACTTCTCCATTAGAGTTAGTGATAAAAGTCATTGGCACCCTGCTGCCCGACTTGAACTGAGAACCAAACGCCTGTGCAAAGTTCTCGATCTGGTAGGTTGCTCTAGGCTCCATGTCCTTCTGAGGATCAATCTGGCTAGCTAACTCCTGAGACGGGATCTGAAAGCTCGTTGAGGACTCTAAATTTTTCTGCTCCTTCTGGCCAGTCAGTTTCTGAGATGTCGACTGGTAGCTGGAAGAAGTCTCCAAGTTTTTCTGCGGATCAATGAGATCATCRAGCTCTTGAGAAGGAGTCAACTGCTGATGCGTAGCCTCCAAAGCAGATAAATAAAAGCCTGGCTGAGAGCCAAGCAACATCCCAAACGGAGGTTTTGGCAACGCAGTTGGCAACACTGAGGTAACGGATTGGCTGAAGCCACACTCGAGCGGAGACGTAGTGTATATCTGTTTGTCTTGAAACAGAGTGTGGTTATGGAGGGTTGAGGACAAGCTAACAAACTGGAAACTGGGTCCAAAAGGAAAACCAGTGCTATTGGTCGTTCTTTCAAAAGCTTGTTGGAGGTATTTAGAGTATTCTTGCAACATGCTTGCCTTATCATTTGAAACGGTTTGTGAGTTGGGACTCAAGTTTTCTTCCTGAACCATCTCCGAATGTTCTCCTGAGGTGTGCAAGTCCACGCGTTGCTCCGTTATGCTGAACGGATCTTCCTTCTGGCCCTCCGATTTGTGAGAGTACTGGTCCAAAAGGCTCTGTAAGACTTCATCAGGAATACCAGACTTGTCATGGCAAGACTTTATTTCGGTATTTAGAGATGCAGAATCCATAAGGGATAAYGGAGCTTCGTTATCCATAACACTAACACCTGCGGACTGGATAACGGACTGCTGGGAGGTCATGTGTCCGACGTTAAGTGAAAAGGCACTGTTACCGCTTGCAGTTTGCAAGTATCTTCTTTTCTTGGAGAACTGCATGGCATCATCGTAATTGCTACTGATCTGACCTGGTTTCCCACTTGTACTTTGGAGAAGGCCAATACTTTCCACACCAGTATTGGTCCCTAGGCCTAAAGAGCCACTCTGCTTCCCGGACAACGGTTTTTGCCCCAGAATATCTGGCAGCGGTGATACAAAATTAAGGTAGTTTTTGTCTGCGTGTTTTCGGCTTCCTTTTTTAAAGACGAGCTTTGGCACCTTTTTCTGGAGCTCTTCTACACCCGTGCCAACAAGACCGCCGCTGGAAGACACGACAGGAATATCAACTGCATAATTTGGCATGGCCACGTTACTTGTAGCTGGGGACTCCGATACTTTACTGCTACACTTGCTCCCTTTGCTTTCAACGGATATACTTTTTGCTTTGCTTTTTCTCCTTGAGGAACTCGTATTTCCCTGAGACAACGCAGCCAGGCTACCCACGCTGTGGTTCGAGGCTCCAGCTTCCCCGCCGGCACCCGCCTTGCCTATGGCTTCACCACACGTTCTTCTGTGCTTCAGGAGYCTATCAGTCCTCGAAAAATACTGCTGACAAGTGTCGCATTTGTATGGCTTTTCTCCGCTATGCGTCCTCTTGTGTCTCTCCATGTGRTACTTCTGGATGAACTTCATGCTGCACTGATCGCACCCGAAGGGCTTCTCCCTGCTGTGGATCTTCTCGTGCCGCTGCAGCAGGTACTTCTGGATGAAGCCCATGCTGCACTGGCTGCACTGGAAAGGCCTCTCGCCCGTGTGGATGAGCACGTGCCGGCGCAGGTGGTAGGAGCTGCGGAAGGCCGCGCTGCAGTGCTCGCACACGTGGGGCTTCTGGCTGGGCGAGCCCGCGGCGCCCTCGGCCTCGCCGGCGGCGGGCGGCTTGGACGCGGCGCCGGGCTTCCGCTTGGCTTTGATTCCCTGAGTTTCTGGCTTTGGCCTCTTCGCCTTCTTGGCCAGGGCGTCGTGCTTGGGCTCGGCGTTGCCCTCGGCCCTGCCGCCCAGCAGGAGCTCGCGCTGCGGCGGCGGCTGCAGGTGCTGCAGCAGCCCCAGCTCCGGGAGGGCCCCGCCGCCCTCGCCCAGCGCCGCGGGCCGCTCCTCGCCCGCCGCCGCCCCGAAGAGCCCCCCGTAGTGGTGGTGCGGCGGCTCCTCCTCCTCCTGCTCGCTCGGCTTCTCCTGCTTGATGCTCGCCAGCGACTGCAGGAAGCCCCAGGGGCCGCGCTGCGGCGGCGAGGCGGCGGCGGCGGGGAAAGCCCCCGGCGGCTCCTTCTTGAAGGCGCCGTCGTGCGGCGGCTCCGCGGCGGCCGGGGGCAGCGCGCAGGGCGGCGGGTGCTGCGCGGCCGCGGCGCGCGTGAAGCTGGCGACCGGCGGCAGCCGGTGGTTGAACATCACCATGCCGGGGGGGAAGGAGGGCTCCATGGCCGCCGCCCTCTTGCCGAGGAAGCCGCCGCCGAGTTTCATCCCCCGCGCAGGAGGAGGAGGCAAGGGGGGGGGCGGCGCGGCCCGCGGGAGCCGCCGCGCAGCGCAGCGCGGCGCAGCTCAGCGCGCGGCCCGCGGCGCGGCCCGCCAGCCGCCGCCCCGCCGCCTCGCCTCGGCCATCGCCGCCCGCGCCCTCGGGCGGCCCCGGGCCCCGCCCGCACTTACGGCTCCCGCCGCCCGTGACACGCGACGCCGCCGCCGCCGCCGCCGCTCCACAATGGAATTAGCAGCCCCTCCGCGCGCCGCGCTGCACATGCGCGGCCGCGGCGCATGCCGGGTACGCCGCGGGCGCCGCGCCAGCGCGCACGCGCCGCCGCCGCCCGCACGCGCCGCCGCCGCCCGCCCGCCTCGCCCGCGGTGACGTCAGCGCCGCTGCCCGCGTGGCGCCGGCGGCGCGGCCGTTAACGGCCGCTCGCGCGGAGGGGAGGGGAGCGGAGAGAGCGGCCGCCCCGCCGGCACCGGGGCGCCCCGAGCCACGCGCGCAGAGCTCATCCCGCTCAAAAATCATTAAAAACGGAGGGAAATCCACATCTGTGTATTCACACACAAAAAAAATTCACCTCAAATATATCTAACGGCTTGCACTATCCCTTCCTGATCAGGAAAGCATCCTAGAGATTACCAGAAACTCCAATATTTTGAAACAGGGTATTGGGTTAGGGTCAATTAAAAAATGAGCAACATTTTTCCACCATTAATGGTCAATGCAGCCAAGGCCCCGAGGAAACACTTGAGTAAAGTTTACCCATTGATTTTGAAAACTTTATATTCCTATATGGTTTTGTTACTGCACTCCCAATTACATTAAAACCAAAGCTTCAGGGGTCCCCAAGAGCTTGGACTGAACGGGACACATGACAGCTAGCTTTCAATCATCTAGTTAACAAGCAAGGGCAGGAGCTGGAAAAATTTTCTTGCTTCGCACCTCAAAAATATTTCTCTTAACGACCATTCAACTTACAAAGGTCAAGTAATTTCCACAGGCCTGTTAGTAACTGTTAAAAATGGGATGCAACACTTCCTAAAGCTTAAAAATGCTTATGAAATAAAATGGAGTATGACTTTTTCATACGCAATGCAATTTTAAAGTCTGTTAAGTAAAACCAGGGTTTCTTTAAATACCTTAAATCCTGTCTCTCAAACAGCAAGCAAACTACCATTTAATTTTCAAACAATCTGAATTATGAAAGTTTAGAACTGTCAGGTTTAGCTAAGTGTTAAAAGGAAGAGTAGGAATTCAAAAAAGAAAAAAAAAACTTAAAGCAGCAGTAAAATATTAGTCAATGCCTATGAGAAATGAGTCTGTCCCTTTATTCAGGGTGTCTGTGTTTAATGGTAAGCCGGGATGCATATAAGCTAGCCCAAGCATGAAGGGCAGTAGGACACTCATATGGAAAGCCAACTTTGTCCCTCAGTTATCAAGATAAGAAACCTGTCATTTCTCTCATTCACTCTGTCAGCCTTGAGATACTCCAAGCAGACTTACCTCTGTGTTGTACACCCCATATATCAGGAAGATGAAGAGACCCTGTAAAATAAAATGGAGGGAAAAAGCTGTTAACTCTAATCATTTCAGCAGTAGAAATACCTGAAATAAACTTTCCTGGGAACAGACAAAAGAAGACACACTTCATCAAGGTCAATTTATTTTTCTATTTTTCAACATTATACGCTGTACCTTGAGCATTTATTAGATAGCGTGGGAGTGCATCACCTACAGCGTTTGTGCTATTCAACTGTTTGGCAATGAAAGCCTCCACAGCAAAACAATTAGAAATATATATATATTTCAATGTTCTTCTGAACAAAAACTCAGCATAAATTAAAAAATACAAAGATGCTAAAGCAAACTATTAAAGAGCAAATTTCCTCATTTTTTACACCACAATAAAGAAAAAAATGATTTGCCAATGACATTCTTGCATTCATACTGACAAAAGCATACACCCCCAGTTAATGTTTTTAGAAATTTAAATATCAAGAGAGTGAGGATGTATGAGAACAGGAAGAATGAAATAGTGCAAATAACCAAATAGCACATGTGGGTTATTGATGACCTTTTACTACCTTTCTGCAAGTTGGACTGGAATTAGACAGAACAAGCTAAAAATAAACTAACACACTGATTTCAGTTTCTCTGATTTTTTTTTTTTTAAACCACATCCCAAGTGTTGTTTTCCAGGACCTAAGTTAGCAGTGTAGCATTTTACTGATTTTTATAAATTGCAGACAGGATTCTATAAAAATCTGTCTGCTGCTGAAAAGAACATCTATTAGGAGTGAAAAATAAGAAGGATAGTTTTCTAAGAAAATTCTCTAACCTAGATCCATCTGATATTTTTAAAGATTTTTATAATGCACTTACAGAGTATCACAGAAATTAGGTTACCTTGTAATATTAATATTTGAAGGACAGCTATGTTAATTCTGGAATTGCTCATTAGTACTATTTTAATAGACAGGGAGAGATTAATTTCCCTAGATTATCCAAAATTCTTCAGAGAAGAAAAAGCATTCTTGCTCAAAGTAAGTTTTGTTTTGAAAAAGAACTGTGGCACATCTTTTCAGTTATTTAAACAAAGTACGATGAAGTCCTCAACAGGAAGAAAAAACAGGTGCCCATTCTTGGAATTTATGTTTTTTKAGTGCGTTTTATATAGTTCAAATGCAATATACAACTCATATCAGGCTTATTTGTAAAGAAGACAGCTAGAATACAAACTCAGCAATTTGGGCAAGTTAATTCCTTGCTTGCATAGTTATTTGTAGAATCAAATCCCAATTTKCCCTTTAAATATCGTACTCAGAATCCATTCTCATTTTCATGGGGCTGTCTGCAATACGCATTTAGACTGAAAAAGAAATTGGAAAGCTTTCTCACAATTATACTGAAATAAAATTAATTTCAGCAGAAATAAATACTGAAGCTAGAGAAATAAGATGAGCACATCTTAAAAACCACTGAGTGTATGAAACTGACCCTGATAAATGAAATTAATTCCATTGAGAGCAAGGTAAAGAACCACCACAGTTACGTTTCCTAACGGATGTGTGCTTCATAAACAAATTTGTATGTATGTATGTGTGTATGTATACACACACACACACACGATACAAAGATTTTTAAAGATTCCTCRTCTGTACTGAAACTTGTCACTGACAGTTCTTAACGCTAACTGTACAAAAGTAGATAATGTAAAAAAYAGGTAAGTTTTCTTACTTATGAATCTGTTGGGGGCCTGCCGGCACCGAGGACACACCTATATCTCCTCCTATCTCTGTTTTAAGTCCCTAGAGGTTTAGAGATTCTTTCCCTCCCAGGCAAGAGGACAGAATGAGTTGCTGCTCTATCAAGAGGCAGGGAATATTCAGCTGCTAGTGAGAACAAGAAAAGAAATTCCTATTTCATGCTACTTCCAGAAGAATAGGTAAAATCAAATTTTCACATAGGGTCCTGGGACTTTATTGTTGTTGTTTTAACAGCAATAAATTTTGCTAATCCAATCGGTCCACAGCAAGGATCTTACATAGGGCTTGTAATGACTTGCAAGGTCTTGGCACCCACAACCGAAAACAAGAAATAATTTTCCACACAAGTTGGTCATCGACAAGTGCCTACACAAGATAGTTTGTGGTCAGTCTGAGGTGAAAGGGAAGCAAACCTTAGGTGGGAGGAAGTGTTATAAATACTACGTCTTACCTAAGTGATTATTCAGCTTCCTTAGCTCATTAGCTGCGCTCTCCGAGCTCTGTTTCTTCAGCCAGMCGTGGTTGCACCCACAGAACAGCTCTGTGAGCTGCAGTTGCTCGGGCTGATCAGAGGCTCTTTGGTTCTAGAAAGGAAGGAATTTTATCTGTAACTGTTGATTTCATCAGTCAACACTGATAAAAACCCCACCACCAAATCAAAAAACCACCAAATAACAACAACAACATCCATCCCRTTCACCAAAGGCACATCTGCTTATTTGAGTGTTACAATAGCATATATGAACACATATATGAATAGAGTAATTGTAACCCCAAGTATGCTACGCAGTTTATAAACACAAAGTAAGAGTCCATGTCTTGATAAGGTTAAATTCAATCCAAGGGAACAGGCAAGTCTACAGAAGAAGGGAACACGACACAGAACTGGGCAAACAGCTTTCCAGAAGTCCCATGAATAGGTCCCAAGATGACCTTGTTGGTGAACTGGAGCCGCACGTTTGCCGTCCCCCAGATCACCAGAGTTCTGCTTTTGGGGCACGGAGCAGAACTGCAGCCTGTTTAATCACACTTCTATTTTAACTTGTTGCTGGGTGTAAATGGGTAACCCAGCTTTTAAATAGGCAGTTCTTAACAGAATTACCCTTGCTATCTTGAATAAATCCGTCCAGGAGCAGTTTTTAACAGTTTGTCAGGATCTCTTCCCATTCGGGTGGTACCACTGCAAGGTATCAGACTTACCAGAAGTTCCCTCTGCTTTGGGGTAGCAGCAGCAACCCTCTGCACTGCAGTTCTTTGCTCAGAGGTTTCACCGATCTTGGCATTTCTCTTGTCTGTTACTGTTCAACCTTTCCTAAAAGCTTCTCTTCAAGAATATTTCTTCTAACATTAAATAACAACATTATAATTATTGTGCTGTAACGTGGTATAGTGTGAAATGGTACATTGACGCTTTTAATATTTTTCATTTCAGCACTTTCTTTTTCAACAGATCTGACTACATAGAATTGCTTAGTTACTAAATGGAATTGCCTAATTCTTCTCCTTTTATTTTTAGGGGTCTGTTTGTTTTGATTTAACTAGAAATTGTATTTAACAATTTTCAGGCACTAAAATCCATGTTGGAATATACTAGTGAGTCAGTTAAAGTCATATTATCAAAATACAGATTTGCTATATGCATTTTATATATATGCATTCATATAACTAAGAGAATTAAATTTTTAACCATATTTTAGTAAATTGATAAACATAAGAACAGTTAATATTTTAAA